TTTTTTGAAGTGATGCAGGATCCACATGCACATAGCCTACAGTGACGTAACCTTCACTGTTCCTGTTATAGCCTGCTAAATAATCTACTGTTTCACCAAGTCGAACATAACACTTCACGAAGGCAGTTAAGAACATTTACCAACGAAGAATCATGTTGATTCACCGTATAGATCTTGATAAAAATAGAAGCACTGTATATATTGTATTTAACAACTATAATGTAGATCTTTCAAGGTGCATCAATATATATACTTCCAACGAAGAATCAAAACGGGAACTGCATCTCAATGCTGAAATCCCGAACATCATTATTAGTTGAGAGCACGCAGAATACTAGCTCACCAAGTTGCGTTTCACAAAGAGTCTTCAAGGATTTTACGTTTCTCAGTCCCAAAAATAAGCCCGAAAATTAAAAAAAAAAGCTTTCTTTACTGAGAGTGCGAGGCAGGTTAAAGATTCAACCGCCCATTAAACTAAACAACGAGGGTTAATACATCAAATATGACTTCTATAGCATATAATATTTGGCGTGGGTATAATTGATTCTTCGAGCTACTTTTCATTTTTTTTATCGGACATTTCATTTAAATACCGTGGTGCATATGTTTTACTCGTTGACCGCCAGAGGGCAGTCCAACGTTATCTCCCAAGACAGTATAGTTGATGATAAAAATCGATAGATATCAACATACCACCTAATCTCGATGGAAAAGGTTAACAACCAAGCAATAACAATCTTGATAATAAAGGCAATGTTTTGCCTAGTCAGCACTTTCTGTACACCATCGATGTTATCGTGGCGTGTCTGCTATCGGAACCAGTCTCGTCGTAAGTAATTGATCAAGACGAGCCCCTGGACCAATAAAGCTAATGGCTTTCTGATTTCGAATGGCCAAGATACCTCCCTCCCCCAACACACACACACACACAAAAAGAACTTTTTTTGTCAGGCAGTTTGCTCAGATTGAGCTGTCATTTCATCCAAAGATCAATATATTTTTCAACTTATCTGCATGTTTTCTGAATAAACATAAACATAATTGACGCCAAGGCAGCGGTATTTCACTCCTTTGTTTTACTTAAGGTAAAACTCCCTGGCTCCGTCAACGATCCCTGATCATAAATAATGATTTGAAGAAGCCTGTATCTATAACCCAGTGTGGGTTCATCCCGTGTCTCCATCTTGATTGAAGCAATGCCCAAAAAACTTAAATACAGCAAAGCATTTTTTTCTTGAAAATCAGCAATGTTTCCCTTACCACCAAAGTAACCTCTATCCAACACCGCTGAGACAATTAAAAACCGATTTTTGAACTCTTAATGGCCCATTTCTCCTGCCACGAACGAAAGTCCCCAGTCCACTTCTCCACTAGGAGAGTATCCCGTAGTTAAGAAACCCAGAATAAAAAGGGTTGATAGATCGTACATTTCTCAACGGTCTTGGATATAATATGCCTTGGTGATTAAGAGAAACGTATTGAAATTTCCAAGAAAATAAAATGAGCGATAAATGGGAAATTGCGTTTCCAAGAAATTTCATTTTTGCTGCTCAGAGGTCTAACGATCATTGTGGGTCTTTAATATATTGGCAATGCATTATCTCTGTTCAGGGGCATTAACTTTTTATCCGTTTAGTCATTCCCATTAGCCTGTCCTACAGAATATTAAACCACCCTCTATTTTCTTCTCAAAAATCATTTTCATATAGAAAGGATAACACCCGTCAGTTTCAATCTATGCATTAATCGATTTGAGCATTGGTACCACGTGTCATTTGAAATTGAAGATTGGTAACGGGTCATTCTCCTCACCGCGAAGGAAGGATGCTAGACTTTTCAGCATTCAAATGGCAATAATAATGGTATGCCAAGATATTTTTATGATATATGTTACGATTGTTGGATGTCTGTGCCATTATTGATACCACTGTATTTTTGCGTTACAAAAAGTAATTAAAGAAGTTAATTTTAAAAAGTTAATTGAGCAAATGAATCATTGTAGACTTATTTTATCTAAATCTCTACTCATGCCAAAAAATTTCAAGAGATCATAAAAGAAGTATTTTGCATTTAACGAGGAATAGATTCAGTAGTGTGATGGATTTTTTTTTCATTTGTGTGGACAATGATACTCCCTAAGCATGAGATTAAACATTTTGTGGACCGAGGAGGAGGAAAAGCCTCTGATCGCTACTTGCTATATCACCGTCTCTCTGCATAACGCAAGTTTTGTTGCAGATAACCATAAACTACTTGATTTACATATAAAAAGCCGGATTCAAGATAGCACACTGAGACGTATTATTTCGACGTTGATGAACCTTTTCTTTCAGGTATCCTGATGATAAGATTTCGATACATTCGGCGTGGCCTCTGTGTAGGCACATCGGTCTGGGCATTGCTCTTTAAATCTGTGCTGAGCGTTCCGTGTCACACAATAATTTGTCTGGCAATGTCTGTTTTTTTTTCGCGCCATTCTGGCACAGATTAACAATGTTGTAAAACACTGCTTAGCTCATTTTAAGCACTGCAAAACCGACCGCTTGCACGCAAAAGTTCAAATTCTTCTATGCAGTAGCTGTCGACATATGGATACTTTTTTGTCGAAGCCAGTCGAAAGGAGCACTACCTAATTAAATCACTACATATTACACAATAAAGCAGTGCTACAGTCATGGTAGTAAGTTAATTGGTAGCACACCTGACTGCACACTTCTCCATTCACATATCTTACGTGAGATCTGAGTTTTTTGAAAAAAGAACGCATTTTTACCTATGCATACCTTTAAAGGCAAAATATTCCATATTAAATTTTAAGTCTGTTCCTAGAAAATTTACTTGGAATACATTTGAATACAAAATTTCAAATGAACGGATAAGTAAACGTTGACATATATTGGGGCATTGGGGATCTCTTTCTAGGCGAAATTCGCACAAGTAATTTTTCGCATATCGTAAGGGTAATTATAGTTATAAAACAGATATCTTAAAATCAAAGACAAAAGCACGAGAACCACGTAAAGGAATATACGTACATGAGCCCTCTTCAGCTGATGGATAATATATTTCCACTGCAGCGTTTTTCACATGAAGTCCTAATTGGTTTCTATGTAGATGGGCAGATGCAATCCTATTACATCGTTAACTGCAGTCATCCTTTGTGGTAAAAGCAAGGCGATTGTTAATGTCACGAATATATATATTGTCTCATAAATTCTGTCAAATAATCGCTGCTAAACGTGACAGGATATGACAACCCGTTGGCTTAAATGTTAATTTTGATCCAGGCGGCGTCTCTTCTCTCTGCAGATTCCTAGTAAACTGTTTGGGAGCCCTGACTGTGCTAATGACAACGCGACCCACGTTTGATAGTGTTATAAATGTACGGAGGGCACCGTCACGTGCTGGCGCATGAAAAATTACCAAACCACATCGAGCAGATCATATCACAGCTAGCTTTAAGATTCTATTTGAAGTGGCGTGTGTTCTTTGATCTAGGTTTTAGCAAAAGTCATAGTTCATTAAAGATTCCGTCTGTCGGGTTTTAAAATGAATACAATGCAGTTTGGAACTGCCCATCGTCAAAAAAATCTTAAAATGTGTACACTTGGATTCAATAATTGTACATTCAGGTTTTAAACACCTATGGTAGACCATATCTTGACCGACCGGGGCCACAGGAACATTTGAACACGACATGCACAGACATTTCTATGGCTCTTTATTACCTGTTCTCCCGCGAGAATATTTTGCACGACTGCAAATTCACTCAGTCTCTTTATGTGGCATTGAGAAATTAATTTTAACGGTACCAGTGAAAGTCTCAATGGAGACAGGGACTATTGGATTTCATTCTTGACAGTTCCCGGAGCTGAACGATTTTGGATAGGGGAAACCTCGCAGAAAACAAAATTGTTGAAATTTTAATAAAAATTTCTTCGTATTTCCTGGTATATAAATTAAAAACGCATTAAACGCATTGTCTTAAAATGAGGATGAAAACCCCTTCCTTAATCATTGCAGATGTAAAAATCTCTTTCTCTCGGGTAATCACGCAGAAGTGTCACTACAATCGCCTTGGGAAATTCAATAAATTGCTTGAACCAGTACACACGTACTGGAAAACGTTTGGCATTCGACAGAAACATTAATCGGAATAAATCCCTATTATAATTATAATAATAATAATAATAATTATTATTAATTTATTGAATTATTCATTCATTTGTTTAAAACTCTATTTCTATTGTGTACTCGCCCAGTCTTGTGACCCCCCAAAATAAATAAATAAATAAATAAATAAATAAATATCGAGAAAAAACATGCATTGGGCGACTCGCTGAGCATCAAATTAGCAGTGAAATGGTTTCGTAGAAAATGGACCTCATCTCCCCGGATGAAGGAAACACTTCTCGTGGGATATAATTAGCGTGGATAATTGATGTTTATTTCTTCCTGAAACTACTTATTCGTGTATCCTTTTTTCGTTTTGATTCAATTTCATTTCGTTTCATTTGTTTATTTAGTTATCTTATTTATTGATTTATTTAAGATTTCGGGTTTGTATAGCAAAAGTATAAACAAGGATTGTGGTGGAAAAGCAGGGAATCAGTACCGATTCCCGGAATGGTCCTTCCTCAACTCAAATAAATTAAAGGAGCGGGTTGCCAATAGTGCACTATAGAGTGGACTAGAGCGGTAGATAGATATTTAATAGTTGATGTGCATATTATATTCACTTCTAGGACTTAAATCAAAATGTAGGCTTTGAAAAAAATACTATATATGTAATTTTGTCTGGTTTGGAGCCTAATGTTGTGATAGTAAGTGACTACTTATTCTTGCCATTATAACAGCGTTTTTTTTTTGTATTTATCCACAATAAAATAACATGAAGTGTGTCTCAATAGGCTTAAGGTCCATAACAGAACCTGAGGAAGAAATGGTATCGGCTTGCAAATTTTAGATGATATGGAAGAAAATAAAAACATCGACTCTGGTTGGGCCGCAGGTAAAAACGAAAATAAAATGTTAATTTTATTTACTGCATTCATGTATACGTATCACTACACACATTGAACTCGCTATTATACTTAGTCTTCCGGAATGGTTTTTCAGCTTAGGCCGTTTGGACTTTATTCATCCCTCATATTTCTACAAACTTGGAACTAGTAATTAATTAGTTTCACTTTAATTGTCTGATGTGCAACACATTATAAAGAAGAAGAGCGTTCGTTCCGTTCTTATCCCAAGGCTGGTCGCACTTGCGGAGTGTTCACCTTAGGCGTCTGAACCACGTCTGGAAATAAATAAATAAACACAGTCAAATAAAAGAAAATCTAATCAAACTGGGACATAAAGACAAAATAGATTTATTAACTTCAGATTGTGACATTTTTAATGTGTTAGTTGAGAGTATTGCTCTCTCTCTCTCTCTCTCTCTCTCTCTGGCGTGCGCGCGTCAATGTACTCAACACTCATCCTAACACTTCCGGTCGTGGCATTGAGCGCATTAAGACCGAATTAAGCCAGGCTTTACAAAGCCGGTGACCTAAAAATGGCGGACGTACATGAAAGAAAAACCGCCTAATCTTTTAATAGTCTCTCCGCCTCTCACACGCCTCCCCACACGTCGTCCCTGCGGGGTACAGTAATTAAATCTCGGCTCCGAACATTAATATTTCCGTGAATATCTCTGGTGATATTATCTCCGTAGATCAGGGGCGGATTTAGGCCGTCTTCTGGGTCTTCCGGAAGACGGTCAGATTTTCAAGTTTACATTGACGGGTATCTAATTTTTTCTGTCAGAAGACGGTCAAAAAATGGAGGATGGATCAACAAAGATAATGTGGAAGACTGTCAGAAAATATCTCTAGATCCGCCCCTGTAGATAGTCGATTCATCGCTGCTCTACGGGCCAAATTATTCCTTTTTCGTCTCTGTTTTCAAAGATAATAGAACAGAAGAGCTTTTTTCCTTCGATCGCCTTCAGCCGCCATGCTTTCTTCACCACGAGTTTAACTGATGAGCATGCGCACTTAATATTTCTCAGGTAGCTTCCGCATGGCGAACGGAGACGCGATTTAATTACTGTACCCCGCAGGGACGACGTGTGGGGAGGCGGAGAGACTATTAAAAGATTAGGCGGTTTTTCTTTCATGTACGTCCGCCATTTTTAGGTCACCGGCTTTGTAAAGCCTGGCTTAATTCGTTGAGAATGCGCTCATTGTCTTTAATGCGTTAGTTGAGACAGTGTTGTCCTCTATGTATATATAATGGCGTGCTAAACAGACTGCTGGTTGTGACATTACTCAATAAAGTATGAGAAGATGGATTTATTTTGCAGCTTGTTGGGCGAGTTTGATACATAAGTGTGTGTGTGTGTGTGTGTGTGTGTGTGTGGGGGGGGGGGGGGGGGGTCTCGATAGTCCGAAGGTTCATTGGTCTGAAAAATGGTAATATTTTCATCGTTTTTTTAATCAAGGGTTCATTGGTCCGAAGGTCTATAGTGAACATTCGGACCAATGAACCTTCGGACTATTGCTTCGGACTATGGCACACCTACTTACCACACCAGCCGCAGTATCTGGCACAGTTTGTCTTGCCCCACTCCTCAAAGCCGCCCTGACACGCAGACTTGCCGTACAGACCACAGTTCGAGACCTTGTTACTGCAGAACGCATCCATCATCGATGCTACGAATAGAATTTCATACATATATGAAACATGCTAATATGCACAAAACGTTTTACTGGACTTAAATGCCGGCAAACAGAGGGTTCCATTGGGTCTTATCCTCACTTAAAATCCGCTTTTTATTTCTTGAGATGCGTGATACGGTCATGAAGCACTGCATTCCCGTGACTCGTGAATGTGTTTTTTTATTCTTTACCCATTTAAAAACTTTCGACGCGCATTACCAGTGAAATACATGTATGCATAAACTTTTATTTAATTTGACTTGTGAACTGAGGATTTTATTTCCGGTGATTTCAGATCACTACCCCCCATCGGACCCTCTTTTAAAATAACTTATATTTCAATTACTATGTTGACGACAATGGCTGTCACGTCAATATAACGTATGTATTCTGTGTATGCCCGCAAATATAAGACGGTAAAACCAGTCATCTTGACGTCATCACGTGGTAGCCACGTGTCTACCACGTAACACACACGTGGTCCCATGGGTTGCCCATACTCACAATGGCAGTTCCCCCACTTGGTGTCCTTGTCGTAGCTCCCCGTGGTGGCACACCAGGGCTGATTGTTCCCCGTCAGGACGCACGTGGTCACGTTCTCTCCGTTGTAAATGTACGGGAACCAACACGGAGCTCCCTTAGAGTTCCCGCCAGTGGTCGCTAGAAATACATGTGTATTTGTTTTTTTTATATATTAACATTTTATTAACATTTCTTTTATCATTTTTGTCGAGCACAAGCACAGGCGCAATTGTCCCTTTAATTAATTTTTCATTCAGAAATACAAAGCGATCGTAGCAAGGTGGACATCTATTTGTGCCCAATTTTGACAATTCTGGAAATATTAATCCTTGAAAATGCTTGGTGTATAAAATGCAAGCGGTAGCCACAAAAAAGTGTTGTAAAAACCAAGTAGTACAATCGCACTATACGGTAAAAAGGGTATATAATGTAGAGATTATGGTGTGCTTAAGACAGGTACTTGAGACGAACAAACAACTTATAAAATAAGGTATACAACAGTACAAAAGACTGTAGTGAAAAGAAAAAATAGCTTAAAAAAGGAATACGTACGGCAATAGCCGCAGAATCTGGCACAGTTGGTCTTGGCCCAGGAAGTGTACTGGCCGTAGCACGCATATCTGGTGAAACTGGGACAGTCGTCTCTGATGTCTTTACATGGTGGCTCATTGGGAACTTGGGAAATAATAAGTTGATGAAGATTATAAGACATCCAGTTGGTCTAATAAAGCACTGTACATGCATGCATTTTTACACTGAGAAGGATGTACAGCCGAATCTGATAGGCACGCACGTGGCCTGGTTACGCCGTTGCCGTTTCATATTGGCATGGAATTTATTGCCAGAGATTGGTGTTCAAAAGGACTAGGAACCATTTTCATATTTGGGTATACCATAACGCCTGTGTGACTTTATTATAATAATTTAATCGTACTGAATATATAAGATTACGCTATTAAATAATAAAATTACAATATTAAAACTTGGAAAATGATGCAAATTACGTCTTGCATATTTTAAGCGACAGAAAATAGCCTTGATGTTTTCAAGTGGCATTCAAACCTTCTGAGACAAAAGCTTACCGACAACCGCCGGAGGAACAAAGTTATCCTTAACCCCCGAGGACTGTCCTGCACCTGACGGGTTCCCGCCATTGCCTGTGCTGCCTCCTGCCGGGACGACCTAATAATGCAAGTTGACGATATTGGTTTCATAATTTGAAAGTTTCCCTGTTGCACCATGCCTAAATGCTTTTTCAAAGGGGAATTTATTTTCTAAAGTTCAGTTTTTACTTAGATGATATTTGACACAAGGTTAATATTCCCAATATCAGAAAGAAGGCAAAAAACGCAAAAGAAGGCGAAAAACGGGTTCTTGTGTATGAATCTCAAACAATACAAAAGAAGAAAATAAAAGGTTTATAGATAGGGAATTATATCATGAAAGCCTCTTAAAGATTACATTACAAAAAACCAAATATTTCACGGAAAACCATATTTTATGTACAGCGAATTAAAGGAACTAGCTCACAATATCCCTCACCTGCACGCCTGTCCCTGAAGCTCCTGTGCAACTGAGCTCCTTACAACACTTGTTGGGGACACTGACCAGCTGACAATGTGACGGGATACTGGTGTACGTGGGACATCTAAAATTATATACAATGTAGAGGGTAGCGTGATATGTCGCTTAGACATTGCAGTGTTTTTTACTTACCCACATTTAGTGATTGTTAATTGGTAATTTTAGTGAAATGAAAACCAATTTGTAGTATTCTTTTTAGATACTGTAACGTTTGCAAAACGAATGGTTGAATGAGAAAATTAAGATGGAAATATCGCCCCTCCAATCAAAAAATGAGAACAAAAATGATTCTTTTGGACCTTACGTATGAACAAGATAAAAAATGTCTGCGAAAATAATGGTTTCGTTTCATTTCATTTTGAAATGTACCTGTACTGTATATCACTAATTCAAAAACTCAAAAACGATGGTCTTTTCCTTCAAAGAAGCGCCCCCTGGCGTGACTTACTTGCTCCTGCACTGCACAAAGCTGTTGGTGCTGTCCACACACTTACAGCGGTAGTCACAGCCGTCGTCCCACTCTTCGTCCTGGTCGTACGCCTTGTTCTTGTACGTACACTTGCCTGGGACGATGCACATAGACGTATATTGTAAAGTGTGTTTGAAAGAAGTTGAAAATGAAATGCAGAAATCCATAGAACTCCTGGAACTGTACTTAACAAAAACTGCAAATGGGGCTTTTGCAATGCTGTGACTTGAAGACAATAAGGTTATGGCTCAATACCTGTGTGTGTTAGAGAATGCAGATCACCTGCTAAATGAATGATATCCGATTGATAACCCCCTCCCTTTTGTTAACCACAGAAGTGATAAAACTCATCGAAAATGACTGTAAACCACCACAAATTATCATTTTATACATTTTGAGGTCCCAGAAAGTAAAGTGACGTTTGTCTTCAACGTACCCATCCAGTCACATTTAGGACGCGGACAACATTCCCCGGCTGTGACCTCCATCTTGCAGCCTTCTGGCAGGTGGGTGAACTTTTGACATCTGAATTAGGCATAGGTAATTAAATTTTGACGTTTGCTTATTCAATAAACATGTTCTTATACCCAATGAAAAACCACGTGCAACATCGCGGTTTTACATCTCTCTCTCTCTCTCTCTCTCTCTCTCTCTCTCTCTCTCTCTATATATATATATATATATATATATATTTCAAAATACTGCACATAAAAACATGGTTGAAAAATATCATGATGGGTTACTCAAGGCGAATGGCGAATATTATTACCCAATTTATGACACAAAACAAACAAATAATGTAAAAGTGGCATATAAATCGGAATTCGAAAGGCTAGATGGGAACAAAGAGGACAGTGTAATGGAGAATGGACAGTTGCAACAGCGTTAATTACAGAAATCATTGCTAAATATAAAAGTCAAGGAGGTTACCCACTTATCGAAGCAGAAACTGGCGTTGAGGGCTGCCGAGGAACAGTAACACGTAAGACCACACCCATCTGCAACCCATTGTTCCCCCTGAACGTACTCCCGACCTCCGTAGGTACACTTCTCAGTGTCAGTGGCTATAAAAGACAATGTTCCAGACAGTAGCAATACAAGTTTTTTTTCTATTGCCAAGTGCATAGTAATACATGCGACTACACATACCCGGTAAAGGTCCGTATCAATGGCTGGTTCAGCAAGCTTATAGATGGCACAGAAATAAATCAACTTACATTTACACCTTACTGATGCATTAAGTGCAAACCAATAGTGCGAGTAACGATTTAAATACACGTAGATGTTTTACGTTCGAAGATATCTAGAAAAGACTAAACTTACACTGAGAGTTAGCCAACATGACTCCCGCCAAGGATACCACCAGAACCAGATACCATGAAGCTGCCATTTTGTTAGCGTCTGTCTTTAAGTAAAGGTATAAGTAAAGAAAAGTATGATTCCCTTTACTGTGAAGTGCACTCACAATATGGCACTGTATTTCTTATCAGTGGATCCCTCCTTGGTTGTAGATACACGGCTCTTCTAACAGGTGTAGTTACTGTACCATCTCTCTCACGACACCTGCGACCTTTTGGAATCAATTGAGGCCCAAGTCGTGTCTATGAAGACAGGAGACTTTTGATAATCTGTTATCCACTGAAGAACAGAGCAAGATCAAACTGCTTTGAAGGATGTCTCCAGCACCTGATTTTCTGTTTTTGTAATTTACATACGATTTCCATGCATTTAAGTTAAAGCGGGTTGTTCAAGTGAAAGTGAGGGTCGGTTTCTGTAATGTACTAAAGTGACATTATTTTTCACATATTCTACTCCAGAAAAAAAAAAAAAATTTTTTGGGGGGGGAGATAAACCAGTTTAAGTAAATAAATTTACGCGTATACGGTCCCTTGTTTTCAGTGTTTGCTAAAATAGTTGCCCGGCTTGGCATAGTATATTTAGTCTTATGTGGCCTTGAAACTAACTTTTTCTGTCTCCAAGCGATTTGGGCGGCTTTTTTAATAGGTTGAAGGACAGCTAAGGCGCTTATCGTTTGTCAGGTTTCTATTGCAAAGACATTTTAGATAGCTTTTTAACCTGCAACTATATTTGGCACACGTACACGTACCTATCTCCCTTAAAAAGTGTGTTAGTGACTAGGGGAAAATCTCAAATCTTTTCCCAAATTTTAACAAATCAAGATGATTTCAATCAATAATTTTATTGGAATAAGTTCAAACTTGAATTTCTCTTATTTCAAGCAAACCCCATACAAGCTTGTTAATCGTTTATCTGGAAGTCCCAAACGTTCCATGAAAATGTCAACTCCTTTCGAAGATACCTTGCTCCTAATTAACTGCGTTTTGAAAGCACCCCTCAAAAATTGAGACCGTCGGTACCATGCATTTCAAACAGCTGAGAAGATAAGGAGAGTCACGTTGTAGTTTAAACCACTACATATTTTATCTTTGCTGAAGAGAACGCCAAGGAAAGAGGCAGTCATGGCTCGAACTCTTCTGTTGGCGTTTGCTTTATTCTTTAACCATGCCTATGCCATGATTCAGTTGAAGGATTTCTATCCGTACGGATTGAAAAACGGAGACCGTAATCAGACGCGGAGAAATGATGATCAGTTTGATGGTCCCTTGAAATTGAAAGTGCCGTACCCGTTCTTTAGCGGTGTGTACCAGAGCCTTTACGTAAGTAGATCTAATGTTTTTTTGGGGGTCATCTTATTGATTGTTGTTATACAAAAGTAGGCGTTTTTCATGTCCATTTGATAAGGTTTTGCACGATGCTAATATGATTTATTGGCAATTTACAGTTATCGCCATATGGATATACAAGACCAACCTTATACTGTTTGAAATCTAGCAAAATGGAACTATGAAATTGTAAAAAAATTATTGAAAATTGACAAAAGGCAACCATTTTGTACCTACAGAGGACAGGCAGTTTTGTATTTGATTTGATAGATTGGATTGAGAAATCTGGAAATTGTTCTCATTTGATTTCCCATTTAATCAGAATTTCAAAAGAGTGAATAATTTCTAACTACCTAGTTCATTAGTTACAATATAATACCATTAGCAGAAAAAATAATTATCATACTTTTTACCTATTAATCGAAAGCATAATAATAATAATAATAATAATAATAATAATAATAATAATAATAGAATTAGAAAATAATTGAATGAATATAAGGGAACAAAATTCTCAAAAGAAGCATTTGCCAATGCACCAACAGCCAAAAGAAAGCACTAGTTCAATATCAGTATTTACGTTGCAGGTGAACACGAACGGCGCCGTGTCCTTCAAGAAAGGTATCAGACAGTATACCCCTGAAGCCTTCCCGCTCAACGACACCATGTTGACGCCATTTTGGGCTGACGTAGACACCAGGAACTGGGGCCAGATCTACTTCAGAGAGACGCAAGGTTAGCGAAGTTTCAAGAAAAGAGTATTATAATTAATTGTAACTACCGGTAAATACTGTACAAGTACTTCACGGAAGTAGTTTTTGTGTCCAATAAGAATCACAGAAAAGATAGACCTGATATGATCGCGCGTGAGATATATTTAACAGGCAGAGCATTGCTCCAGTGCGTTGAAACCATTTTGAAACAAACTCAAACGAGCTTGGACAAATAAAACGTTGTAGGCCTACGGGTATTCGTGACTGTTCCTTAAAATGACGGTTTACATAAATATTTCCCTTAACAATCTCGGCATATTCGGTCTGATTATATAAAAGTTTTACAACAAGAAGGATCACTCTTATTGCACCTTATTGTCCAGCAGTGATTGGTCAAAACGCAGTGAGCTAAATGCGAACTGGCACCGAGATTGCAGCGCCATCTTTAGTCATAGCGCAGGCGCACATCGATCACCTCGCCAACCACATGCGTCCTCTGGAGCCAAATTTTGTTGTAACACTCAGAAATGCTCCATAGTTGTACAATACATACAGTGTGTAACGTCATGTTCATAATTATATAGAGGATTATAATACTATACATAATATATTTAGAAACTTTTGTCAAAGTACTGGGTATATTACAGATCCGGCTCTCTTGTTGAGGGCCAGTAAAGAGATCCAGGACATATTCCTGACCCACATGGACTTCACGGCAAGGTCGCTGTACATTACAACCTGGTATGACGTCACGTACTATGGCGGGAACAACGCCACCTCGGTATATGATTTTTAATGTTTTTCTTAAACTTGCATTCATACGAGATGTTTAAGTTTGTTAAATTTGTTAAATTTGACACATTTATGGATGTTGTTGTTAGGCCAACGTCGATATCAGTTTTTTCTTTGTTTGCTTTTTATTCATTCAAATAAGTACTGGATATGCCCAATATATTTTAGAACATTGTCAATTTGTGCAGAATCTTCAAGTATACAGTCATTAAAAAAACTTAAGATAATTTGTATTTCATTAACCCGAATTTCAACGGCGACAATTAACAGATAAGAGGTGTTTTTTCCTGTTCTTACAGGAAGGTTTGGAACACACTTGCCCCATACAGTACCTACCCATCCATTCCCTTTCGACCTCGACTTGCCCCCACCCCACCATTGTTAACGATTAAAAGTATCAAAGTCTAATTAATATGAATGCCGTCAAACATGATGGTGCAGCTATTTTTAAGCACACGAAAAATAAAGATATATAATACAGACTTGACATTTAATATGGAATATTTTTTTCCAAATCATTTTTCATCAGTTTTTTCCTATTTAGCTGACTGATAAATTAAAATAAGGATTAAAATCGTGTTTTAACAACTTTAAATTACCTCTTTGATGTCATTGTGACATCAGTTCATTAATGGAATTCGACAGAGAAGCAAACAAAAACACATTGCCTATTCTATGTCAGACGACAACCATTAAAAGAGATATTTTGGACCTCCATATTTTCCAAATTATTGTCTGTAAAGGAGTTACACGCGCCACAAAGGACCCTCATGTCAGTGTCTAGTCACAGTAACGGCCGCTGTTACGCATGACCTCTTCTGGCTGCCNTAAATGTACACATTCTTAATCCGAGTACGGTAAATCTATTGATTTTCACATTGACTAATGTGTACATGTATAAACATTTTCAAGTAACGAACATGGAACAAATTCCTAAGTAATTATGCACATTTACGTGTATGTCTACCTAGTCGACGTGTGCAACTGAAGGTCAACTTCTGTCCAACAGATTGACGACATATAATACACTCTCGTACGTAAACAATAACGAGTTGCTTGAATAATATCTTCTCTAAGTCGGATCTGTACACATGGCTGTTATACAGACTTGACATTTAATATAGACTATTTTTTTCCAAATCATTTTTAATCAGTTTTTTCCTATTTTGCAGACTGATAAATGAAAATAAGGATTAAAATCGTGTTTTAATAACTTTAAATTATCTCTTTGATGTCATTGTGACATCAGTTCATTAATGGAATTCGCCAGAGAAGCAAACAAAAACACATGGCCTATTCTATGTCATACGACAACCATTAAAAGGGATATTTTGGACCTCCTTATTTTCCAAATTATTGTGTGTGAAAGAGTTAAACGCTCCACAAAGGACCCTCATGTCAGTGTCTAGTCACAGTAATGGTCGCTGTTATGCCTGACTTCTTCTGGCTGCTACCAGCGCTCTCAAGTGGCAAGGCATTCCTTGGGATAGGTTTTTAAAGTTCAATCTGGAATAACATTCCAGGCATCGGTCAAAATCTGCCCAATTTGGTCCAGTTTTATTGTAGGACATGTAGGCCATTGATTCGGAGAGTAATGGCCTACCCACATATTGTCTATGTGGTTCAAATATGGCGATTATGGTATCTGCTCATTCCCTTAATTGGTTCTATAAGTAAACTGTTATTAAATGTGCTCTGTGTGAGCCGGCAATCTCACCTTGCAACCTAAAATTGTTCCTAAGTTGTCCCCTATCAAATGATAGCCAAGTGGTTCCCAGATTATTTCTTTATTTGATCTGGTTCAGGTTTTCGTCGATGACTTCCATTGGTGTTTTGGCACCAATATGGTATCCACTCCAAATACTGACGCTGTTAATGACCTTAGTCACTTTAGACGCGGCACACGCTTCGTCGTTGGCCTGTACTGGTTGTCTGTAAACTCCATTTTGACTGTTGATCGGTACAGGTGAAATCTGACCTCAATAAAGAAAGCCACAAGATTTAAGTGTTCAACCCAGAAACAGTCAAGGTCCCCAATTCAATAGAGAAACATACAACGATGTTTTGCTGTTTACAGTGGGTTCCTCGGAAGTCGTCTGGTATTCTAACCTGATAAAACCAGTTTGGTGTTGGCTAAGGGCCTTGAAAAATGCATTTTGGTGGTAATTTACCCCTCATTTTGAACGGACTTGGTGGTTTTTGCTTATTTGCAACAGCATATCCCGAAACACAGTGGTTCCTGTACCCTGGTGGTAAGATTTCTATACATTGGGTGTGGCCTCTGTGTAGGTACATCTGTCTGGGCATTACTCTATAAAACTGTGCGGACCGTTTCGTTTGGCGCAATTATCTGTCTTTTTCGCGCCATTCTGCCGCAGATTAACAAACTTGTAAAGCACTGCATAGCTCATTTTACACACTGCAAACCCGACCACTTGCATGTAAAATTTCAAATTCTTCTATGCAGTAGTTGCCGACATATGGATACTTTTTAGACAGAACCATGCTTTGCCAAAGCCAAGCTTTGACCTGCCCAAAGGAGTACTACCCAATTAAATCACTGCATATTACATAATGCAGCAGCGCAACAAACCTGGTAATCAGTTAATTGGTAGCGACACACCTGACTACACACTTCTCCATTCACATATGTTATATGAGATCGGAATTTGTGAAAAAAAAACGCATTTTCACCTAGGCATACATTCGAAACTGAAATATTCCATATTAAATGTCAAGTCTGTAGTACTTTTCTGTGCATTGACAACTAAGGCATTGATGTATTATACAGATATTTAAGATTATCTTTAGGACCCTCCATTCTCGAGGAAATGCCTTGTACTGTACAAACTATTCCCCTAACGTCATAAAAAATCGCCACAGATAGCAATGTAAAGAAATCAGGTGAGACATACAGTATATTGAAACCAGATCACCCTAAAGTATAGAGGTAATAGAGATCATACGTACCTCCGTTTGTGTACTGGCAGTTCCAGCCACTGACGTAAGCAGGACAGGAGCATCGGTACCTTCCGTACCCGGTATCGTAACACGTGCCGCCATTTCGACACGGACTGCTCCAGCAGCCATTGTAGTACCCCATGGTGGCTAAAGATGGATACAGTACCGTTGTTAATACACGCACTTGGAAACGATATTGGAAATATACCGGACATTTTGTAGACATTGTATTCTTGAAAAAAAGTAATTTATGCAGGCAAATAGGGACGTCTTAAATTTTGTAATTTAGATCGGAAACGAAAATTAATGCATATTTTGAAATTTATTTTGATTTATTTTTTACAACTGATGGTAAATCATGGAACAACATGTCGGTATATCATTGTTTTTGAGATTTAAAAAGAATGTTTTGTAGTGAATTAAGTCAACATTACAATATCCACAGTTCACTCAACAATGAGCGAACGTACTTTAGGTACACCTGTATAAGGGATTCTGTCCTAAATTACTATTTTTATTATCAATTATATTTCACGTAGTTATCTCTGTTTTTAACTCAACTTTATTTCATTGTTTCAGATCAGAGAAAAAAAAAGAATAATTTCATTAACAAGAAAAATGCCCTGCATTAACAACTTACTGGCTTCGAGAGGCCCGGATGTCCCATTGCAAGACACGCTGACGTCCTCCCCGTGACCGCAGTTGTTGACCCCCCAACCCAGATGTTTACACATTGCTAGGTTTTTCTCGTCACCACGGCAACTGACGTCATCAAGCCATATAGGGCCGTATCCACGGCCGTACCGTGCACCATGGTAGGCTGTTGCATTATTTGTGCTGTGAGAAGTAAGAAACAGATGTCAATTTAGTGTTGTATCTTGCATGTTTTTATTTATTTTATTGAATGAAAAGCTACATATTTTTAATTCATATAATCAATTCAAGCCGTACGTGCTGGTTTCGAGGCATTTCTATTACACTTATCGTGATGATCTTCATATATTTCACATAAATCTTATATTTGCTTACAAGTCACCAACAAAATTATAAAAATCTTCTAAGTATGAATAGGCATACTTATTATACATGTATATTTGCATATCTGACAGCAATACATACGTCGAAGCTAAGCTCTAAAATAATAAGATATGTTCTGAAACAGTCACCGAATCAATTAAAAACAAAGAAGAAATCTTGGTTCACTTACTCGTGTCCAAGCATCTTACAGACAACACGTGCACTTCTGTAGTCAAAGGAGTCATCACAGACTGTCCCCCACTGGTCGCAGTAAAACACCTCCAGGCGACCCTCCAGTGGATGAGGACCGGCAACAAGACGCACCGGAACATTGGTGGTATCTGAAAACAGGGAATCAAAATGTAAGTTGGATACCGTGCGCTGTTGGCATCAGTTGGATGAATTTCTTCTGCAAACTATTAAAAATTCACTCTCCCTGCCCCAAGGTATGCTCAATTTAGCGAGGAAATGATTGTGAAATGCTGACCATGTATTGTAACCAGATGGATTTCATTTTTTTTTTTTGCAGTTTAACATAAAATGTACGTTTTTTTACCTCATTTATTAAAGAAGTTTACTGATGGTAAGAGAGAAGGGAGAAAGAGAGAGAGAAAGTAAAATAGTGTGTTTGAAAGAGGGAGTTCGAGAGAGAGAGGGGATGCGTACGGATGATAGTAGTGTAGAGAGAGAGAGAGAGAGAGAGAGAGAGAGGTTCGAATTTTACCTTGGTTTGGTTTTGAACAAAGCGGTGATCCAGTTGTTTGATAATTTGGATACCCAGTCGTACGTCCAATATTAACAGGCCCTAAACCAACGAAATTCGTATTTATTCGATTATTTTATCCACATTTCAATTTATGAATACACAGAAGGCAATACATAATTAAATACATAATTAAATAACTGAGATACAAACCTCACATAACATATATCACGTGATGTCACCACCCTCGTAGTACCGTCCGCTAGAGGTCTCTGGAGTTTGTATCAAATTGAATAGAAGACTTACCGGTATATTCAATGTAGTTACAAACTACAGAGGCCACTATCAGAGGGTCTCTCCAAGGCTAGTTGTACCATATCCGTTTAGGTTTCGTTTTTACTCTTTTGTTGAATCAGTTTTGTAGTTAAATTACAGACTGGTATAAGTAAAGTGGAGGAGAAAACACCTGCTGCACCTTATAAAAATTCCAATTGCGCCATAGGTGACATTCCAAGGTCATCGCCCATCCCAAACCTGTCACTAACAGAAGTGATACATTATCAGCAACATGTCTCCTATCAGAACTGTAATGTCTGCGTGTGATAACACAGTTTTTATTGCCCTACTTCAGCGTACATACACAACTCACAGAGCCGCACCGATTGGCCATACACTGTATGACCTCAACTGAGAACTTACATGTAGTACCGGTACATATCACATTGAAATTGTTCTTTAAAAAAAAGGGAAAATGTATGTGATTTGGTGGAAGCTAGTTGAGTGGACAAGGTTAGTCAGACCCTAAAACAAAAGCATTTTGGTTTTACATTTACATGTTTAAATGTCATTAACGTTACCAGGATACCATGTCTGGGATTGTATAAGTAAGAAAGTGGCAAAAACGAAAATATTTTGCGTTGTTTGATGTCATAAGCCGACTGTGAAAATGACGGTCACCAGTGCAGCATTCGACCATTCTCATAAAACTCTGCGTTTGCGGAGTATGTTGACGTAACGGAACGTTGAAATTGCTATCTGTTTGTCTACCTGTCTGTCTGTCTGCCAGTTAGTCTGTCTATAGAACGAAAAACTTAAGTTCAAAACTACTTAACGTACCGTAATTATATTCGCACTTCTGCCCCGTGTAGTATCTGGGACAAATACAGTAGTAGTATGGGTAGAATTCACTGTTTCTGCATGTCCCTCCACTCCTGCAGGGCTGTTGAGTCTCGCAGAAAGCTAAAACAAAAATATTCTGTGACGCAGAAGTCTGTAGCTACATGTAGTCTTCAGACTCAACTTGGACTGCTAAATTCCAAAACAAGCAAAATATAATTAAATTATTGTTTTTCTTTTTATCAAGAGCTTATAAATATGTAGGTTTTACCTCCAATATTTTGATAAAAAGAAAAACAATAATCTAAATTGATACATACAGAGCTAATGAAACTCTTCTCTCAAGCAAAATATATTTTCAAATTTTAACAAGATGGATAATCATTATGTGTTGCAAGCCTCTTCTGGCTGTTACAGTAAATACCTTCCCTGCTTAATTAAAAAAAGTATAGTGGTAGGCGCCATTCTTAGCAATTGTATTGGACTTAACGGATGGTATTCACGGCATAATAAAGTGATTATCGGACCTTATTCCCCAATAAAACTGAACCTACACACATTATCGTTCTGTGTATTTGTACGGGGACCGGTTTGACAAAGATAGCAAATTTTCTTAATTTTATGCTGATAGCCACCGTTGATGAAAAATGCAAGTTAGTAAGTACAGTAGTAGCAGTAACACGCATGAAACATTGCACCTACTTCATGAAAAATTAAGCTTAAAAATGATTCGTGGTTAAAGACCAACTTCATTTATTTTCTACGTCATTTTGGTCTTATTGTACATCCGTTATTTTCTGTAAACATTCTAATTTGTAAATTTTATTCCATTCCAGTTTATGTGCAACTGTAACTTTTTGGTTGCTATGGATTATTATTATTATTATTATTATTATTATTATACAGATCCACTTTCAGAAGTTGTTCATAGGCAGTCTTCTTAACTGTGGTGAAAGTGCCAGAATATTCTTTTTTTCTAGCAAAAGAAAGGCAATAACGCAGATATTCATATCAAAATGTGGCTGATGGATATCAATTTTATGATAGAAGCAGTTGGAATGTTATACATAAAATAAACAGGTAAAAGAAAAAATATTCTGGTCAGGAGCAATAATTTTAGCGGGGACCACCAAACAACAAACGCAAGATATGGGAAACGCCTTTTGATACATTTTTCAGTAATATATATCTGACATGTAAATTGAACGACCTCTCAAATCTCCTTTTTATATCACACCGAGGAAGAAATATGTTAAATCAATAATTAAAAGAGGAAAACAAATATATTTAAACTGTTTAATTTGCTATCATTAAATAATGTCAAACAATTCAATAATCTGGGTAAGTATTGAACATGTGCTTCTAAATACCTGCATTTTATGGTGTTATATTCCGAGCAGTAGCATAGTGCCGCTGCCATCATTCAAAGTATGACCAATTAAAATCACGAAACTTAGCTAGATTGATTTAAATGCTGTTTCTTGCATTTTCAGCTTCGGGACGTTTAAAAAAATAATTGTATATTTAACAAATAAATAAATAAGTGGAGGGTTGTTCTTGCCACTTACTGGTGGGTATTTTCTCTGTGGTCACACCCCGGCATGTCGCCACCATGACCAGGAACACAAGTAGGTGAAGGAGACCCATCTTCCTCGACTGCTGTGGTATTAAAGAGCTTCTGCGCCGAGTTCCTTCCTAATGTGTGCCGAGCGCGCGGCGTTAGTTACCTGATAACCTCCATAGAGCAAACAGTTTGAGATGTCCTACAATTTTGTTTGATGATCGTGTGAAAGCGGTCTATTCCCAGCCCCTATCGGACTAACTTTGGATCGATCTATCTCCAATGGAATTCTCGCTAAATTGCAATCAACTTAAACGGCTTAGATGTCTGCCACGCCTCCTGAAGCTGCTAGGGGTGATTAGTTATCGTTTAGCAGCTTCAGTAGCTGTGCCAGACATCTAAGCTACTTAAGCCGAAAGCAATTTAACGAGAAACCCCATGAAGATGTATCGATCCTATTAGATCGATCTAGGCATGGGAACCCAGGTTATGCCAAAGTGAAGACGATTCGTGTCTCTATTAATGGTGCACTGTTCAAGTATTTTTTTGAAAACATGAAATGTATATAGGAAGGAACAATCCATGTTAAAATGAATAATTCAAATTTACGAATGCAGTTTTTGTTGTTTGTGGTTAACCAGATTAACATGTGATGCACGGCGCTTTCCTAAATATAGATAAACAAACTGTCAATTTTTTCAGTAGGTCTAAGTTTCCAATTTGAAATCACGGGCGTAATCGAAAGTGTTATGGGTAATAGGCAACGAATTAATGCACATATACTGGGACTTCTTCCTTGTTGACAACTAAATGTCAGTTCTCATGTCAAGTTGTTTGGTTTTTCAAACGGGTATCTATTTGTTTTGATAAACGTGCAGTGCAGAACAAACATAGACGACACACGATCGATAAAGCAGACCAAACCGACACGGAGTATTAAACAGTTTTAAATCATTTGAGTTCTCTCTCGGCAAAGACCTCAAACACATTTAACACGTAAAGATGCTGGAGCAGATATGTGTTCTGCGGGCAGGAAATGCCAAAACTACTCGTAGCTCTCCCGATAGGCAACAACATCTATCAAAACGAGGGTCATCTCCCCCATTAATGGTCCATGACTGTACTGGATACAGTTTGGTCCTCTTCTAGAAATAAAATGAAACCTAAATTGGTTTAGGTAGAATGACGTAACTGAAATAAAAACATGTTCATTCATAGCCCTAGGGGATATTGAATTAGACCTTTCCGGGTTGACCCTTCATCAAAGTGACCACAGAGCCGTAAACCCATGGCTGACCAATGAACGACCACTTTACAAATGGTTTTGTAACCGATGCAAGCACAATATCCGATAACTGTCATTTTCTATAGAGATAGATTACTTATTTACAGATGAAAATAAATTGAAATATGAGATGCATTTTACTATACTAATATGCGACAGTGTATGTAGAGCTGAGTGTAGGGTCTATATATCGTACACACGCATTGATACAATAACAAATAAGTTTTATTTGTCATGCTATTAATGTGTGTGCACTTTAAAAGAGAGAGAGAGAGAGAGGCGTGTGTCATAGAGTGAACACAACACTATCGTGGCAGCAGAGGAAGACGGGTAGGCGGGAGATCAGTGTACACGTGTATAGTAGCGGTGCCAGTTTGTCACAGCTGTCACATTCAATATTCTGAATGATAAAGTTGTAAGTGGTGATATCATTATGTGTTACAAAATACAAAATAGATCATTCGACCTTAAGCCTCGGTCACAACTGGCCGCACGGGCTCTTACGGCCTGTTTGCGTCCAAATTTTGAGCAGAATCTCACGTGCAACGCAAGTCCCTCTTGCGAATTTTGGAGTCAGCAAACAGCCCGTATGCACGTACGGAGGATGTTGTACAAGGCCAGAAGATTGTACGAATAATCTGCGAACAGCGAGGCCGCAAACATAAAGCCTAGGTCCCAACCGAACGTACGGGCTGCTACGTGTGGTCTACGGCCAAAAAAATGGGGAAAACGTGGGAGTTCGTGCGTGAGGAGCACGTCCATCGTGCGACTTTTGGAGGACGCAAACAGCACCTAGTAACTTTTCGACATGATCAACAGCCGCTACGTGCGATCTAGCTACGTCCTTGCTGGACGCAAGGAACCAAAAACCCGTGCGTCCAAAACGTAGTTGGGACCTAGGCTTTACTTGCTTCACTCGCAAGGAGTTCGCAAGTGGGACGTGCGTGGTCTAAGACGCACGTCGCAAGCAATGAAGGAGCAAGCGCCCTTTGCGTGTGGATTACAGCGCACGCCCTCACAAATAACGATCAAAGTCGAAAGCACCACGGAGGTGCGTCGCAGGAGCGTCACCCCTACTCCAGGAGTATAAAAGGTGTAATCATGCCGCACGCTCGTGTCTCGACAGTACTACGTTTGTGCAACCTGTACAACAAATTCCAAAAATCTCGAATTTTGCTTAATTCAATTTCTAACATGCCCCCAAAAGGCAAGAAAAATCCTTACAGAGCAGTTAAGAGGGGAGAAAGAAGAAGAAAGAAGGGAAGAACAGTAGGCAAAACCGTTGCACGCTGTTAGTACGTCATTACAAGCGTGTGAGGCAAGTGTGAAACAAAAGGGAGCTACTTTCGCCGTGCGTTGCTTTCTCTTCAATAGTGGTGAGCGCCTGCCACGTACGCAGGTAGCAAGACAAACACGAGAAATAAGTACAATTTACATTGCACCTTGCAATTAGCGTCCCTAGTTGGATCGTCCCTGGTTGGATCGATCTAATCTCTGGGAATGGGTCTTAGATCGATCCATCTAGATCGACCTAACTTCCTGCGGGTTCACGCTAAATTGCTGTCAGCCGAGCGCGCACGGAAGTTATGGGTAACCCCTTGCAGCTGTTAATAGGTGGGGCAGACGCTTAAGCCGGTGTCAAGCAACACAGAGTCCTACCATTCTAGGGTCCGGCGGACCCGGTGTTTTAAAACTGAGAGTCCGGCGGACTCCCTGTCTCGAAATAACGGGTCCCGGACTCTATGTTCTGAAATGTAGAGTCCCCCTAGACACTCTATTTCAGTACGGAAAGTCCTAGGACCCTACGTTTTAATACTGAAAGTCCGCATTGAAGAGCAATAATGAAATCTCACACTTAAAACATAATGTTAACTGATACAGAGGGAAGAATTATAAGGATTAAAGGTAAAATAAACATTCTTAACCTCTGTTAAAGTGTAACGCGTAGTATAAATGTGCATTGTTCGCATTTCATAAACTAATTTGCAGGATTTTCTTTTGTATG